TCAGAATACTAACCAGGTCCTTCCCTACTTAGCTTTAGAGGTTTCACAGGTTCTGGCTTGGGCTACCCTCGAGAAGCAGTAGAGGTGAACTGTGTGCTTAGTTGTTTTCATCAGTTTTTACAAAATGGCCGCTTTAGCACAGAGTTCCTCTAGTTCCAAACACAGCTCACATTCCTCTAGTCTTTCAAACACAAACGCGCTCAAACTTTAGCGACACAACTTTACGCAGTTGACGTTTCCCCAATACAACAAGTCGAGTTTCTGTATACAAATAATTCCAACACAGATTAAATTTGTAAAAACTTTTTCCTAGTTTGACGTTTTGTGGTCAGGAAGTAGTGCGGAAGCAGCAAGTGTCCTCGGGAGTGACACCTCTGCTCCACACAGGATCTCTGCTCCACACCTCCGCGCAGTGTAACCAGCACCAAACCCGGATAAACACCGTGTCCCCGGGGTCTTTGGGTCTGATCCGGGACTGAGGCAGGACCGGCCCGTTCTGGAGCCTCTGCAGCCCGAGAGAGCAGGTCAAACACCCGGGAGAGGAAAAAGGAAGCCCGGGAGAGGAGCCCTGAGTCTCACGGGGAAGGTGGGTAAGGGTGGAGGGACCAGAGAGCGCAGACACGTGGATATAACAATGTTTTCTTTATGTTTTTGGGTTTCACAGTGTGTAAATGAGTCTTAGCGGTGTCTACAGTCCCTTATGCCCACCTTTGTCCCCTCATGTCCCGATTTGTCCTGCTTTAAACCCCACAAACACACTCCACTTAAGCCTCTTAGATCCAACCTCGAGCCGCGTCCAAATCCATAACAAACAGCTCCTTATTCGTCCCGATAAAAGTGTTTATATTTAAGACACGGGAGCTCCAGGTGTGAATATGTGAACTGTGACAGGCTCTGGACAGGATTTAACATGACTTTGGTGCAGAATTATTTCACAAAAGATTGCAGAAGAGATTAGAAGGAGGCGAGAAGGAGACGAGAAGGAGAGGGACAGGAGGAGGAGGAGGAGTTGTGGCCTGAAGGTGCAGCTCTGGAACCAGGAAGTTTGCACAATCTTCACTCTAACTTTGTCCTGAGATTCTGGGACTGGGTCTGATACTGGGTCTGAGTCTGATACTGGGTCTGAGTCTGAATCTGATACTGGGTCTGAGTCTGGGTCTTCTCTTGTTGTAGTTGTGTTATCATTTAGTGACAGAAAAGTGAAAACTTGCAGTGGAATGAATCTTGTATCTATGGGAAATCACTGATTACTGATTGTTACACACATGTTACACACACGTTACACACACGTTACACACATGTTACACACACGTTACACACACGTTGCACACACGTTACACACACGTTACACACACGTTGCACACACGTTGCACACACGTTACACACACGGTACACACACGGTACACACATGTTACACACATGTTACACACATGTTACACACACGTTACACACACGTTACACACACGTTACACACACGTTGCACACACGTTGCACACACGTTGCACACACGTTACACACATGGTACACACATGTTACACACACGTTACACACACGTTACACACATGTTACACATTAGAGCTGGGAATTGGCAAAAATGTGACATAGTGCAATATTTGGACCACATGATTTTGCGATTCTCAACTTTCACAGCAAGTAATGCAATTTGATTCTGCGATATATTGTGATTCATGTCCCCCATATTATTCAAAGGCATTACAAAAACTGAGGAAAAAAAGACTCAACTAATTTATTATGGTCTGCACATACAAACACAGAGGAGGGAAGTGCAAATACTTCATCCTTGAACATTCAGGACACAGGACCTTATTACAGACAGATATTATTATTTTCTGAAGTCGACCTTTCACATCAATGGGAGCTTCCAGCACAACAGACTAAAGTCACACAAAGCAGACATCATAGAGAAACATAAACCTCAGACGTAAATGAACAGAGAAAACACAAATGTTATACAGATAATTATTTAATTCAATACAGCCATACTTTACTGTATCAATACAGAACAGAATCCTTTTTCCCTCCCACCACTATTCCACACACTGTCTCTGAGAAAGATGTCTTTGAGATGACTTGACAAGGGGTAAGTAAGTATTTATTTATATACCGCCTTTTCACTGCAGATCAGAGTCTCAAAGCGGTTTACAATTGTTAATTTTGGGCATTTGTCTCTCACTCCACACAGATGGGAGCGGGGAGAGTACAGGAGGCGCATGCTAGAACTATTGGACATATTTTTAGTGGTAGGGGAAACCGGAGCACCCGGAGGAAACCTACGCAGACACGGGGAGAACATGCAAACTCCACTCAGAAAGGCCCTGGTCCGACCGGGATTCGAACCCAGGACCTTCTTGCTGAGAGGCGAGAGTGCTATCCACTCTGCCACCGTGCCGCCAAGGGGCTGGCAAGGGGCTGGCTTTTTGATTACAGCTGTGGGGCGACTGTAAAGTGCCGAACTGTGGTTGTGTCCTTAGGCAAGACTCTTCACCCACATCCCTGAGTCTGGGGAGTGTCTCTTACATCATGTTCCTTCATCGTTGAGTTGCAGATGTCTAGAGTGTGACCTCTGTTTTCTCAAATGTCCTTTTCTCTCACCAGCAGTGACTTTGAGTTTGTGAAATCTGTGCTTCCTGTCGCTGACTCTGCAATGTTCACGACTGAAGGAAGACAGATCGGAGTAGAAGTAGAAGTTCCCCAGAATATCATCAAAACTTATTTCACAAATGGAGTGGTGGAGACAAACAGGGCCAGTAGGGGGCGTGGTCTCTGTAGCTGTGTGCTGTGATTGTGGAATAACATGGATATTCAAGTTTATTTGGCATCTGTTTGTTTTAGTTAGTTAATCTGTAAGATTTTCATGTTAAGTCATCGTTAAAGGGCCCTAATCTGTCAAAAGACTTTAACAAAACATGCTCTTTTCAAATGCTTCTTTAACTGATAAGTGTAGTTCAGAGATATTTGAATTTCTAAATTAGTTTTTCAGCCTCTAATTCAATGTCCCGCCCTCCACCTTTTGACCAATCAGAAAGTCTTTGATCCAGGCACCAGAACTCACCGTGTCGAGCTAATCTCACTGGTAAAATAACATGTGGCCGCAGGACTGTTATGATTCTAAAATTATTAAAGACAAAACAAAGAATAAATCCAGGCTTTCTATCTTTGTGAAAAAGGTGTTGGTTTTAGATTTGTTGTTGACAAAACTCTTGTCTATTCAGCTGTTATGGTCCCAGCTGGATTCGTCTGCATATCTGGCAACCTGAGTCAGGGAGAGAGCAGTACTACTTTAGGCCAGATTTTTACATACTTCTCTTTATAGATTATGATAACAAATACTTTCCGTGACTATATTGAGGTTCCTTATGAAGATCCAACCTTCAGTTTGTACAATTCCCAGTTTATTCCTGTTTTATCTCATACATTATCATTAATTCCTGTAAATCCCCATTATTAATTCCCATGGAAAGTTCCCATCTTTGAAAATGACTGGATTTTTGCAGCTCTAGTGCAGGGATGTGTGCAATAACCGAGTAAATTCAATAACGTGTGTGCAATAATGTGGACTCTGAACATTCTGGAGTCTTGGTGGATTGTAAGTAAGTAATATTTAGTAAGTAATCTTTATTTATATAGCGCCTTTCACAGACCAGAGTCATAAAGTGCTTTACAATTGTTGTGGGCATTTCTCACTCCACACAGAGATGAGAGCGGAGTCCCCTCTACTCAAAGTGTTTAACCATGTGACTCTAACCCAATGGGACGACGGATGGAAATTAACCTTTGTCTATAGTCTGGCATGTTTACATTTATGTTTCTAATATGTCTGTTCATTGAAGTGCACCGGTCCATTCAAATAAATAAAATAAAAGTTAGATATTTTTTGTGGTTTGTCTAACTTGCCTTTCAAAAGAACCACAAAAAAGATAGATCTGTTTTTACTGGACACGACTGAAGGACATTTAAGTTTGGTCTTGAGTTAAATGTTTTTGTTGTGGTTTTTCTTCTCTGGTCGCTCTCTGTTCTCTCACTGGTCTCTCTCTCTCTCTCTGGTCCCTCTCTCTGGTCTCTCTCTCTCTCTGGTCTCTCTGTCTGGTCTCTCTCTCTGGTCTCTCTCTCTCTCTGGTCCCTCTCTCTGGTCTCTCTGTCTGGTCTCTCTCTCTGGTCTCTCTCTCTCTCTCTGGTCTCTCTCTCTGGTCTCTCTCTCTGGTCTCTCTCTCTGGTCTCTCTCTCTCTCTGGTCCCTCTCTCTGGTCTCTCTTTCTGGTTTCTCTCTCTCTCTGGTCTCTCTGTCTGGTCTCTCTCTCTGGTCTCTCTCTCTGGTCTCTCTCTCTCTCTGGTCTCTCTCTCTCTCTTCGTCTTGAGTTAAATGTTTTTGTTGTTGTTCTTCTTTGGTCACAGTCTCTGGTCTCAGTCTCTGGTCTCTCTCTGGCGTCTCTCTGGTCTCTCGCGGGTCTCTCGCTGGTCTCTCTGGTCTCTCTCTGATCTCTCTCTCTGGTCTCTCTCTGGTCGGTCTCTCTGGTCTCTCTCTGGTCGGTCTCTGGTCGGTCTCTCTGGTCTCTCTCTCTGGTCTCTCTCTCTGGTCTCTCGCTGGTCTCTCTCTGATCTCTCTCTCTGGTCTCTCCCTCTGGTCTCTCCCTCTGGTCTCTCTCTCTGGCCTCTCTCTGGTCTCTCGCTGGTCTCCCTCTGGTCTCCCTCTGGTCTCTCTCTCTGGCCTCTCTCTGGTCTCTCGCTGGTCTCCCCCTGGTCTCTCTCTCTGGTCTGTCTCTGATCTCTCTCTTTGTCTTGAGTTAAATGTTTTTGTTGTTGTTGTTCTTCTTCTCTGGTCTCAGTCTCTGGTTCCTCTCTCAGTTCTCTCTATGGTCTTTTCTCTGGTCTCTTTCTCGGTTCTCCCCCTGGTCTTTCTCTCTGGTCTCTCTTTCTAGAATCGCTGTTTGAACATGTTGTGTCTCCTCCGTCAGCTGATGTCCCGGCTCGCCCGCCTGCGTCATGGCCGACCTCTCGCTAGCCCCGGGTCAGCCCTACGTGGAGGTGGAGTACAACTACGAGTACAAGTCCAAAGACCGGCTGATCTCCATCCGCCCGGGGGACTGCTTCCTGCTGGTGAAGAAGACCAACGAGGACTGGTGGCAGGTGCGGCGGCCCGACGGCTCCAAGGCCTTCTACGTGCCCGCGCAGTACGTGAGGGAGGTGCGCAAGGCCCTCATGCCCCCGGGACGCGCTCCCTCTGGGGAAGGCCACGCCCCCTCCTCGCACCACGGACATGTGGCCACGGGGAACACAGATACTGAACAAACACACGGACACGCCCCCTTTCCCTATGTCTCCACTGAGCACTCTGCACATGGACACGCCCCCTCTGCACATGGACACGCCCCCTCTGCGCATGGACATGCCCCCTCTGCGCATGGACATGCACCCTCTGCACATGGACCTGCCCCCTCTGCGCATGGACACGCCCCCTCTGCACATGGACACGCCCCCTCTGCGCATGGACACGCCCCCTCTGCACATGGACACACCCACTCTGGCCCTAGCACAGGTTAGTAACACAAAATACATAAAGATTTATTTGCACTTTGGTTTGGAAGTTCACACATCTGGCTGAGATGGAATGAAATACCCTCTTTGTTCGTGGTCGTTGAAGCCGTTTTTGTCTTTGTTCTCTGGTCTCTGCCTCTCTCTCTGGTCTCTCTCTCTGGTCTCTGGTCTCTCTCTGGTCTCTGGTCTCTCTCTGGTCTCTCTCTGGTCTCTGGTCTCTCTCTGATATCCCCTCTGATGGTAAAGCTGCCCATTCTTATTGGCTAAAGGCCTCCAGTTGCTGTAAATTCCTGGGCCGCTCCCCACAGCGGCTCAATGATATCATTTGAAAACGGAAAGCACAAACACCAACAATGAGTTTGTTTCATACAATCATCAAGTCCGTAGTGATCGTGGGTCCATGGACACATCAGCGCCCCCTGCCTTCCCCATGGAGAACTGTAGATTCTCAGCAACACAAGCCAGACAGTGTTTTAATAATTGTTTCAAATACTCATTTCGATGCAGAATTCCAGGTCTGTCATCTGATTGTGTTCCATCAGTACAGCTGTGTCATCAGCAGCAGTGGGAGTCCATGTCTGATTGTAGTGGTTCTTAATGGAGCAGATGGGGTAAATAGAATCAGGCCCACTACCGACCCCAGAAGTGCCCCTGACTGCAGTAGTTGTTTCAGGCCTGCAGGTGTTCGGTTGTAGTAAATGTATCACATGTTGTGGTGTTGTGTCCCACAGCAGGGCCCGTCAGCGGGGGCCTCTGGGTGAAGCCTCTGGAGCCGCTGGAGAATCGCACTGTGAGTCGAGGAGAGTCGACGTTGCGGCGCTCGGGTCAGAGGGAAGTGAGCCCGCTTCACAGCCCCTCCGGGGGGCCTCTTTCTGGGTCTGTGGGGCCCCTGTCTGGCTCTGCTGGGTCTCTGTCTGGGCCTCTCCCTGGGCCCCTGTCCGCAGCCCCCCTCTCTGGGTCCTCGGACTCTGACCGCGGCCTCGGGGTCCCTCCCCTCAATCACAGCAATAGCAGCAGTACTCTGCCTCGATCCAGGGGGCGCTCTCCCGAGCTGCAGCGACAGCCTCTCGATGTGGACGTGCATGAGGACCAATCAGGAGAGGAGCAGCGTGGCCAGGGGCGTGGCAAGGGGCGGAGCCTGGGGTCTGAGTCCGACCTGAGCTCTAGCTCCACAGAGCAGTTGGAGGTGAGAGACACGAGCAATTCACTTCTGTGTCTAAGATCTGCATCTTCCTCCTCTTCCTCCTCCTTCAGATGCAGTCCAGGAGGGTGTCAGATGTCTGTTTAAAGATGTATTGAGGTTTCCTGGGGTGGGTTTCAGAGCAGGGTGGTTTAGCGGTTAGCAAGTTTAAAGTCTAGCAAAACATTGGTAATCAGCTGATTTATCTATTTTCCATTTTTCAAAAGACATGTTGCACCTCAAAGCTGCAGCACCAAAAAAACGACTCACAATGACAGCATTATTTAAATGTATAGTACATAATACACAGAAATGGTCTGAACAGAATCCCATGATATATTAGGTAACTGGATGAGTGGCTCCTCACATTTTCAAACACCACATGTTTGTCACTGGTTGTGATTTAAAGCAGTCAACAGTAGAAATCTTTTCCTTTCAGTTTCAGGTTTTTTCACTAATCTTCCAGAATGTGCCGTAGTTTAAACCCCCACACGCTCTGCTTCTGTGGAAACTGGGACAACTGGAAAGACTGGTCCTAGTTCACAACATCCACATGCTTTGTGTGACTGACACTCACCCGAGAACTGACTCACGTGAGCGAGAGAGAGAGAGAGAGGATGTGGTGGAAATTACTTAAATATGAAGAAAATCAGCTTCAAAGGTAATGGGACTAACTCCTAATCCCACTTCAAAGATTTACTTGCTGTAAATTCCAGGCCTGGTGCTGATCTCAGTGAACAGCTTCATGAAGTCCAAGCCCACCAGAGTTAAGATATACAGACATTTTCCAAACTTTGAACGACACAGAAAACTGTTCAATTCATTATCCAGAAATGGAATGGGTATGGACCACTGCAAACGTACCAAGACATGGCCGTCCACCTAAACTAGCAAGCCCAACAGGGAGAGACCTGATCACAGATGTAGACCTGATCACAGATGTAGACAAGAGGCCCATAGCAGAGATTTTTGAAAACACATAGAGTAATATAATGACATATTATAGATGCAGATTTTGTGTTGTTCAGGTCTCATTTTATTTCAGGAAACACTATGATCATGTCTCACTCTGTCGGTCCACTCCTAATGTCGTCCTTTTCTGTCGCCTCTCTTCTGACAGTCGATCTCAGACCTCAAGCGGAGTGGACCCCCCTTCCCCTCTGGACCCCCCCTCTCCATCTTGGGCAACTGGGAAACTCACCGTGAGGCTGGAGGACGACTGTTCTACGTGAACCAGAGCTCCAAGGAGAGAACCTGGAAACCTCCCAGAGCGAGAGACCAGCCCGGAGGAGAGGTGAGAGGCCGAAACTGGAAGAGTGAGGGGGAGACCTGAGGGGGAGACCTGAGGGGGAGACCTGAGGGGGAGACCTGAGGGGGAGACCTGAGGGGGAGAGGAGAGCTGTAATGTTCTGGGGTTGCCGCTGAGCAACGCACATGTTCTGTTGGGCTGAGGTCGCCAGGATCCGGAGACACTTCAGGAGATACTGCTTGGTTTCCTTGGCGATGTGTTACCTTAATCTCACAATGCATGGCACTCTCATCCTTTCCTTCATACGGATCATTAATTCTCTCAAGTATGAAGTATATTTCCCCCTCCAAAGACAGCTAGAGAGTTTAACTACTTTTCTGTTCTCCTCTGACCTCATGATGGCCCAGGTCTCTCCTGGAGAATCAGGTCAGTGTAAAGGTGCGTTCAGACCAAAAGCTTCAAAAAGCTTTTGACGCCGAAGTTAAAGACCTTATGACGGGTTTGATTTATTTAGAAATATAGTTTTAATACCATTTTATATTAAAAGAGAACTACTAAAGGTTTCAAAATCAGTTTTGTCAGTTTTTTGTCTGATCCCCCCAAATCGAAATAACCCCATAGCAACGCCCTTAGAAATGAAAAAACTTCACAGCCCTTGGTGACGTCAGAACGGGTACGTTTCAACGCTGTAAGTTGTTTACAATTTGGTATTCGTTCTTTTTTTGCGGATATTCAAGATGACAAGGCCGTGTACAGCGAGTCTGAGATAACTACTAGAATGTAACTTTTCGTTGTCACTGAGATAGTCCAGTGGTTGTGTCGATGGACTGTCAATCCAGAAACTTGGGTTCAAATCCCACCTCGGACACTTTTTCACACTCAAAACGGCAATTTATGTGTAGTGAGCAATTGTCACCTGTAGAGGGCAGTATTGTGTTGGGCATCATTGGAGAGAAGAGAGAAAAGGCAGTCCTGTGGCATAGATCCATGGTTTTCAATGCATGGGCGTAACCCGCTATGACGTCACACACAGGTTAGAGCATAGACAACTTAAATTCATGAAAAACACGTTCTTTTTATAAAATATAGGATTTTTTTTGCCGGAATCTCTTTCAAATTGACATTGTCATGCAATTTTGATATCCACTATTTTTTTTTTAAACCCGTCATAAGGTCTTTAAGTCCGGTCTGAACGCCCCTTAAAGCTTCAGTCTGGTCTGGACATGAGCTTCAGCAGGAACACCAGACCCACTGTGAAGCTGGGGTGGCAACATGAACTATCTGCCAAATGTACCTCCAGAGTAAAGATTAAATAATTAATTTTGTGTCTGTGTGTGTGGTCAGTGGGTCAGAGTGGGGGACGACCACAGCCGACCGTTAAACTCCAATGAGAACTCCAGGTCTGAGTGGGAGCTGTCCAAGGTACAGAGATATCACACACTTTAACATTACTCTCCCCCAAACAAGACCATAAACAAACTCAACATTACTATGGTTACACTGTCCTTCACCGTTATACAGACTGTTACTATGGTTACACTGTCCATGTTTTACAGACTGTTACCATGGTTACACTGTCCATCACTGTTATACAGACTGTTGCTATGGTTACACTGTCATCACTGTTTTTACTGATTGTTACTATGGTTACACTGTCCATGTTTTACAGACTGTTACCATGGTTACACTGTCCATCACTGTTCTACAGACTGTTACTATGGTTACACTGTCCATCACCGTTATGCGACCTGTACCACGGTTACACTCTCTTCTGTCTGCAGTCAAACCACCTGATCCAAGATGGCACCAAAACGCGGAGTTTAGATCGACGCAGCGCAGAACACAACGTCCTGAACAAGTGGAGACACAGCACCCACATCCCAGAAGTCGACAAGGAGGCCGCCACGGTAACAGCCCATAAACACACTCAAATCGCCACGGTAACGGCCTGCAAACAAACCTGGGTTGCCACAGTAAAATCCCATAAACAAACTCAAGTTGCCACAATAACAGCCTGGATCACCTGTTGTTAGCTGCACTGGTTCTCCTGGCACCCCCTCTGTACGTATGTTAAACAGTGTTACATTGGCACACAACCCTCAATTACCCTTGGACTGAGGAAAGCTGTTGTTGGAGCTTTGTAGGCGGAATTCTTTCCCGTTCTTCCCTGATGTGTAGTGTCTCCAGGTCATTCACAATTGTCTTCACAGCGTCTGAAGCCGCGGCGCCTTTTCTCCACGCGCCTGGTGCTGAGGCCCATTACTGAGCAACGCACTCTGATGATGCCTGTTAGTGACCGCCGCCCGAATCAAAGACCAGAGAGAGACCAGAGAGAGACCAGAGAGAGACCAGAGAGAGACCAGAGAGAGACCAGAGAGAGACCAGAGAGAGACCAGAGAGAGACCAGAGAGAGACCAGAGAGGGAGAGACCAGATCAGTTTGAAATCTGCAACAAACCAAAAGCACAGACAGAAACCAATGGCACACAACCCTCAATTACCCTTGGACTGAGGAAAGCTGTTGTTGGAGCTTTGTAGGCGGAATTGTTGCCCGTTCTTCCCTGATGTGTAGTGTCTCCAGGTCATTCACAATTGTCTTCACAGCGTCTAAAGCCGCGGCGCCTTTTCTCCACGCGCCTGGTGCTGAGGCCCATTACTGAGCAACGCACTCTGATGATGCCTGTTAGTGACCGCCGCCCGAATCAGAGACCAGAGAGAGACCAGAGAGAGACCAGAGAGAGACCAGAGAGAGACCAGAGAGAGACCAGAGAGAGACCAGAGAGGGAGAGACCAGAGAGGGAGAGACCAGAGAGGGAGAGACCAGAGAGGGAGAGACCAGAGAGGGAGAGACCAGAGAGGGAGAGAGAGGGAGAGACCAGAGAGGGAGAGACCAGAGAGGGAGAGACCAGAGAGGGAGAGACCAGAGAGGGAGAGACCAGAGAGGGAGAGACCAGAGAGGGAGAGACCAGAGGGGGAGAGACCAGAGGGGGAGAGACCAGAGGGGGAGAGACCAGAGGGGGAGAGACCAGAGGGGGAGAGACCAGAGGGGGAGAGACCAGAGAGGGAGAGACCAGAGAGGGAGAGACCAGAGAGGGAGAGACCAGAGAGGGAGAGACCAGAGAGGGAGAGACCAGAGAGGGAGAGACCAGAGAGGGAGAGACCAGAGAGGGAGAGACCAGAGGGGGAGAGACCGAGGGGGAGAGACCAGAGGGGGAGAGACCAGAGGGGGAGAGACCAGAGGGGGAGAGACCAGAGGGGGAGAGACCAGAGGGGGAGAGACCAGAGGGGGAGAGACCAGAGCAGCGAGAGACCAGAGCAGCGAGAGACCAGAGCAGCGAGAGACCAGAGCAGCGAGAGACCAGAGCAGCGAGAGACCAGAGCAGCGAGAGACCAGAGCAGAGAGAGACCAGAGCAGCGTTTTTGATTTGATCTAATGATTGAAATCTTATCACAATTAAAACCTGAATCAAAAATCACAACGAATCAGTTTGAAATCTGCAACAAACCAATACTGTGCTCCTGCAGCCACAGCCGCCCCGGGGCAGACTGGTAGAATTTGTCTGTGAAGCTTTTTTCTCGTTTCAGCCGTCAGAGAAGTGCGGCCTCCTGAACATGACCAAGATCACAGAGAACGGGAAGAAAGTGCGGTGAGTGTGAGAGACCTGCAGCTCATGTGAGACCTGCAGCCTCATGTGAGACCTGCAGCCTCATGTGAGAGACCTGCAGCCTCATGTGAGACCTAGCAGTCTCATGTGAGAGACCTGCAGCTCATGTGAGAGACCTGCAGCCTCATGTGAGAGACCTGCAGCCTCATGTGAGAGACCTGCAGTCTCATGAGAGACCTGCAGCCTCATGTGAGACCTGCAGCTCATGTGAGAGACCTGCAGCCTCATGAGAGACCTGCAGCCTCATGTGAGACCTGCAGCTCATGTGAGAGACCTGCAGCCTCATGAGAGACCTGCAGCCTCATGTGAGAGACCTGCAGCTCATGTGAGAGACCTGCAGCCTCATGAGAGACCTGCAGCTCATGTGAGAGACCTGCAGCTCATGTGAGAGACCTGCAGCCTCATGAGAGACCTGCAGCCTCATGTGAGAGACCTGCAGCTCATGTGAGAGACCTGAAGCCTCATGTGAGACCTGCAGCCTCATGTGAGAGACCTGCAGCCTCATGTGAGAGACCTGCAGCCTCATGTGAGAGACCGGCAGCCTCCTAGTGTTGAAGATCACTAGCCAAAAAAAAAAAACAGATTGTTTTCTACAGATACATTTTTCAGCCATAAGACAGATCGTATTCATTCATGTTCAGCTCTATGCGCAGACACAATGGTTAGTCCCTTAAACCAGGGATCTTTAACAATTTTTGTGCCACAGACCAGTTTCACATCAATGTTAAAAGCATTGGCATTTGAGCCTGAAGGTCGTGGGTTCGAGACCACAATGAGACCTTCCTCACTGATCATAACAGTAGGAACAGTGCAGTAATTTGTTAGTTCATTAACAGAATGTACAGTATTTTCTGGACCATAAGCAGCACTTGTTTAAAAGCAGCCCCGCCTACAGTTGAAAAGAAAGCGTCCACATACAGGCCGCACTTGAATATAAGCCGCAGAGAGCCGACTGTTTTAACTGAACACATGATTTAATGACTAGGCGTTTAGCAGCTCAACCGTTAGCTTCCATGACTCAAACGTAAATAATCAAAGTTATTTATTCTTTCCTTTCTGCCCGGTTCTGAATGACCCAATGGTTCGAGGGTTGGGGACCTCTGCCTTAAGTAATCTTTGATCATTCTAAAAAGTTAAAATACAATCCAAATGCAAACATGATCCTGTTAAACCATGTAGATGTGGCACGTGCGGTTTATTCATGTGGCACACAGCTGATGTGAACCTATACATTTAAACTTAAAGCTGCACTAACTAACTTTATTTCTGTATTCATTACGATAGTGCGATCCATGTCCATGTAGTGCATTGGGATAAACGTCCTTTTGAAGAAAAAGTAGCGCAGATTTGTGCTGGCGTGACATTATATTTTATATTGAGTTTTGATGAAACAAGGAAGAGAATGCGTTTCGGGTCTCAGATTGTGACCAATCACAGCGGACCACCGGCCCCCACTTTTGTGAGAAATCTGAAGGTCCGTTAGCATAGACGGCTGAGTTAGCACAACAAGTGGCGGAGCTAACCTGAAACTTTCTCCTCGTCACCGGTTACTGCTTACACAGCGAGACAGCCATCCAAAAAAAAGTCCCGTTCCTCCGCGCTTCCCGGTTCTATCGTTCTATGGTCACGCCATCCACGTGAAAATCCATATCCATGTATTATCCATATTGGAAGATGCTAGCTCCGTCCCAACAGTGGGTGTGTGTGGAGGGGCGATAGCTTCGTGGGTGCGGGGAGGGGAGCAGGAAGAGCGAGGCCAGCGGGTCCCCGGCTTCAAAATTCCAAAGTCAGTTAGTGCAGCTTTAATCATGAACCGAATACCATCCGCTGTGGCGTTCGGCCTCAGTAATATGACCCTCTGAATTATTTTTGTCTTCAGGAAAAACTGGACGTCATCGTTGGCCGTGCTCCAGGGCTCCACGCTTCATTTCACCAAAGGACAGACAGGGGGCAGCAGCTGGGTAAGCCACACACACACACACACGTACCTGTATATTGTATATTACTGTATATTTATGTACTCATCTGATGCACACTGGGGAAGTTTTGCACATGTATTCCACTGTGGTTTTACTGCAAATGGCAAAAAAATCTGTTTGTAAAAGGCCTTCTCCCTGTGACCTGCTGTGTCCAGTTTGGAGGTCAGTCTAAACCCGAGCTCACGGTGGACCTGAGAGGATCCTCTGTGGACTGGGCCCCGAAAGACCGGTCCAGCAAGAAGCACGTGCTGGAGGTAAGAGACTAGACCAGACCAGGATCAGAGCAGATCCACACCAGAGCAAACTCAGCCCAGTCTAGACTGGACCAGACCAAATCAGACCAGGACTAGAGTAGACCCAGACCGGACTAGACTGGATTAGAGCTAACCGTCCATATCCAAACGACACTAGACAGGACTAGATTAGGGGACTGGACCAAACCCCGACCAGGACCAGATCTGGACCAGAGCAGACCCAGGCCAGACCCAGACCAGACCAGAACATACATAAAGATGAACTCCTGTCTGATTCCAGCTGAAGACTCGGCAGGGCACAGAGCTGCTGATCCAGTCCGAGAACGAGGCCGTGGTCCAGGACTGGCTCCGGATCTTGCAGGACTGCATCAGCACCCATGTGAGTCTGATTTATTTGCTTATTGACCTTTATTTGACCAGGAAAGTGCCACTGAGATAGCAGATGGGGCAGGAGTGAGGCTGGGAGATTGCTATTGTGGCTGAGTCGATAGAACTTTCGCATCCCAGCAAGAAGGCCCTCTCGTTTCTGTCTGTAAAGCTGATCTGAAGATGTGAGGCCAATAATACCTGTGTGTTTGTGTGTGTTGTGTGTCTCAGGCTTGTGAGTCAGATGAGGGGATGGACGATGAGCCCGAGTCTCCGGGACGAGAGACAAACGGCAAAGAGAAGGAACAACGGGAGTTGAGGAAAGATCGTGGTAAGAAGTGAATACACATAAACACACACACACACATGCAGACACACAAACACTGAACAGACACACACACATACAGAGCGAAACACTCACTGGACAGACACGCACGCATACAGAGAGAGACACACACTCGATAGACATACACACAGACACACACACCGTACAGACAGACTCGCACGCATACAGAGAGAGAGAGAGACACACACACACACACGCATACAGCGAGAGAAACACACACACTAAACTCTGCTCTTCCTCAGTAGAGAAGAGCGGCAGTAGTCTGGATGTCTCCGAACACAAGAAACGACACAAACTGAGAAAGTTCCTGACGCGGCGCCCGACTCTGCAGTCTGTGAAGGACAAGGGCTACATCAAAGGTGAGGTCTACAGGTGTAATGTGAGGTCCTTAACACAGGTGTAATGTGAGGTCCTTAACACAGGTGTAATGCGAGGTCCTTAACACAGGTGTAATGCGAGGTCCTTAACACAGGTGTAATGTGAGGTCCTTAACACAGGTGTAATGTGAGGTCCGTAACACAGGTGTAATGTGAGGTCTGTAGCACAAGTGTAATGTGAGGCCTGTAACACAGGTGTAATGTGAGGTCTGTAACACAGGTGTAATGTGAGGTCCTTAACACAGGTGTAATGTGAGGTCCTTAACACAGGTGTAATGTGAGGTCTTTAACACAGGTGTAATGTGAGGTCCTTAACACAGGTGTAATGTGAGGTCCTTAACACAGGTGTAATGCGAGGTCCTTAACACAGGTGTAATGCGAGGTCCTTAACACAGGTGTAATGTGAGGTCCTTAACACAGGTGTAATGTGAGGTCCGTAACACAGGTGTAATGTGAGGTCTGTAGCACAAGTGTAATGTGAGGCCTGTAACACAGGTGTAATGTGAGGTCCTTAACACAGGTGTAATGTGAGGTCCGTAACACAGGTGTAATGTGAGGTCTGTAGCACAAGTGTAATGTGAGGCCTGTAACACAGGTGTAATGTGAGGACTGTAACACAGGTGTAATGTGAGGTCTGTAACACAGGTGTAATGTGAGGTCCTTAACACAGGTGTAATGTGAGGTCCTTAACACAGGTGTAATGTGAGGTCTTTAACACAGGTGTAATGTGAGGTCCTTAACACAGGTGTAATGTGAGGTCCTTAACACAGGTGTAATGTGAGGTCCTCAACACAGGTGTAATGTGAGGTCCTTAACAAAGGTTTAATGTGATGTCCTTAACACAGGTGTAATGTGAGGTCTTCTTCTTACAATCTGACAGTAGTCTTGCTCTTGTTTTCCAGACCAGGTCTTCGGCTGTAGTTTGTCCAGTTTGTGCCAAAGAGAGAACACCACCGTGCCGCACTTTGTCACCATGTGCATCGAACACGTGGAGAGCAGCGGTGAGTCGACCCCCGACCCTTCTGCTGAAACTGATCTACTGCTGTTGGATATGGCCCACTGATTTTACAGGGTTTTTAACTATAGTCTTCCTTTGTTATCTGTGTCAGTCCTGGTTCAGTCCTGGTTTAAACCTGGTTCTGTCCTGGTTCTCTCCTGGTTCTGTCTTGGGTCTGTCCTGGGTCTGTCCTGGGTCTGTCCTGGGTCTGTCCAAGGTCTGTCCAAGGTCTGTCCAAGGTCTGTCCAAGGTCTGTCCTGGGTCTGTCCTGGGTCTGTCCTGGCTCAGTCCCGATTCTGTCCTGGGTCTGTCCTGATTCTGTCCTGGGTCTGTCCCGGTTCTGTCCCAGTACAGTCCCAGTTCAGTCCTAATTTATCCCTGGTTCAACCCAGAGTTTCATTATTATAGCATCAAGGCTGTACTTATGCGTGATTGTATGGCCTTACAGGTGCACATGGTCCGTACTATCAATAACCTGTACATGGTCAGGTTCATGGTAATAATAGTTCAAGGCTTTGTTGTCTTCTGTTAGTTTTATAAATGAGCGATTGAACACCTGTTATTGGGATGTTCTTGTTCCCTGTTCCCATTGTTCGTCCAAGAGACATTTCTCTGTCAAATACCAATCTGATCAGGTTCCCATGATGCTTTGCAGGCCTCAGTGTGGACGGTCTGTACAGAGTCAGCGGAAACTTAGCGGTGATCCAGAAACTGCGCTTTGCCGTCAACCACGGTGAGTGTGAGGACGGGGGGTACAGTCACTTTACTGCACTGCTAAATGTCTATCGTGTGTACTTGCTGCACTTGTACAGTAGTAGTAGTAGTAGTAGTAGTAGTAGTAGTAGTAGTAGTAGTAGTAGTAGTAGTAGTAGTAAAAAAATAACAATTGTAAACCGCTTTGTGACTGGTCTGTGAAAGGCGGTATATAAATAAAAGCTTACTTACTTAGTAGTAGTAGTAGTAGTTGAATGAATGCCTTTATTTATTCTTATTTTTATAACTTGATGTCACCATGAGCCAAAGCAAATACCTAGTTTGTGACTAATTCTGATTCTCTTTCTGATCTCTTGTTACTCCTTACACTATAGGCTTTTTCAAACTGATCAAACCCCCAGGTCTCTCCCCTCTCTCCTCCTCTCTCCTCCTCTCTCCTCCTCTCTCCTCCTCTCTCCTCCTATCTCCTCCTCTCTTCTCCTATCTCCTCCTCTCCCTCCTCCTCTCTCCTCTCTCTCTCCTCCTCTCTCCTCCTATCTCCGCCTATCTCCTCCTATCTCCTCCTCTCTCCTCCTCTTTCCTCCTCTCTCCTCCTCTTCCCCCCTCTCTCCTCCTCTCTCCTCCTTTCTCCTCCTCTCTCCTCCTATCTCCTCCTATCTCCTCCTATCTCCTGCTCTCTCCTCCTCTCTCCCCTCTTTCCTCCTATCTCCTCCTCTCTCCTCCTCTCTCCTCCTATCTCCTCCTATCTCCTCCTATCTCCTCCTCTCTCCTCCTCTCTCCTCCTCTCTCCTCCTCTCTCCCCCTCTCTCTCCTATCTCCTCCTATCTCCTCCTCTCTCCTCCTCTCTCCTCCTATCTCCTCCTCTTTCCTCCTCTCCCCTCCTCTTTCCCCCTCTCCTCCCTCTCTCCTCCTCTCTCCTCCTCTCTCCTCCTCTATCTCCTCCTCTCTCCTCCTCTCTCCTCCTCTCTCCTCCTATCTTCTCCTCTCTCCTCCTCTCTCCTCTCTCTCCTCCTATCTCCTCCTATCTCCTCCTCTCCTCCTCTCTCCTCCTCTCTCCTCCTCTTTCCTCCTCTCTCCTCCTATCTCCTCTCTTCTCCTATCTCCTCCTATCTCCTCCTCTCTCCTCCTATCTCCTCCTCACTTCTCTCTCTCATCATTCTTCCTCGCTTCCCTCTCTGTCTTCTAACAATATTTTATTATACACGCCTTTACCTATTTTCACTTTTTCAACTCGTTTGCACCTTGAACCAGAGTTGAAGACAACAAAACAGACAACACATCAACGTTCAACAAGAACACAAAAACCACACAACAAAAAAACACAAAAGTACAACCCCAAAAACGGAATAGAAAAACACAAAGACAAGACAAAACAAATGAAAAAAAAAGCAAATTCCTAGTTTGTGACTTCCTGTTTTTTACAAAGGTAATAAAAAAAGATTCTGATTCTGATCACATGGTCCGCTCCTGTGTCTCTGCTGCAGATGAGTCCGTGTCTCTGTCTCATGGGAAGTGGGAGGACATCCACGTGACGACCGGAGCCTTGAAGATGTTCTTCAGAGAGCTTCCCGAGCCGCTCTTCACCTACGCCCTGTTCTACGACTTCATCAACGCCATCAGTGCGTTCACTTACCTACTGTATACACAAGTACAGAGGTCCTGGTCCTGGTTCTAGTCCTGGTGTATATACAAGTACAGAGGTCCTGGTCCTGTTGTATACACAAGTACAGAGGTCCTGGTCCTGGTTCTAGTCGTGGTTCTAGTCCTGGTTCTAGTCCTGGTGTATATACAAGTACAGAGGTCCTGGTCCTGGTTCTAGTCCTGGTTCTAGTCCTGGTGTATATACAAATACAGAGGTCCTGGTCCTGGTCTATATACAAGCACAGAGGTACTGGTTCTAGTCCTGGTCCTGGTTCTGGTCTCTGTCCTGGTCCCGGCCCTCTGAATGAAGATAGTGAGACAGACGGTCGGTGCAGCTTCTGCAGTGATGCGGTCGCTGTATCGGACTGTAGTGATGAAGAGGGAGCAGCGCCTGCAGTCAGAGCTCTAGATTCATTGGGGAGCGACCTAAAGGACAAGATGAAAAGTGTCTCTCTCCTGTGTCCACAGAGAGTCCTGATTACAAGCAGCGCGTCCAGAGCATCAGGGACTTGATCCATCAGCTGCCGAGAGCCAATCAGGACACCATGGGGGCGCTGTTCAGACACCTGCGCCGGTAACACTGAAGATACTACTGCTACTGCTACTGCTGCTGCTACTTTTACTACTGCTACTTTTACTACTGCTGCTGCTGCTACTGCTGCTTATACTGCTGCTACTACTGCTACTGCTAGTGCTGCTGCTGCTACTGCTGATGCTGCTACTGCTATTACTTGTAGCTTCTGCTGCTGTTGCAACTGATACGTCCTCTACTACTGATTCTACTGTTACTACTGCTGCTTCTTCTACTACTACCTCTAATATGACTACTGCTTCTTCTACTACCCCCTCTACTCCTCCCCCTGCCCCTCCCCCTCTAACCCTGTCGTCCCTCAGTGTCATCGACCACGGAGACGATAACCGGATGACGATCCAGAGCGTGGCCATCGTGTTCGGGCCCACGCTGCTGCGACCAGAGACCGACACCTGGAACATGGCGGTGCACATGGTCTACCAGAACCAGATCGTGGAGCTCATCCTCATCGAGTGCAGTTCCATTTTCGGACTCTAGAGGGCGCCACTCGCACCGCCCTCAACAGTGTTCAAACCACGGAACCGGATCCTACTGAAAAGCAATCCAGCAGATGCATTTAAGGGCACAATGGGAGAGACCATGTTGATTCCAGAAATGTGTGCGAACAAGTTTAATGGGAGGTCCGTGTTCTTTTTACAGTCTGACAGTCGCCTGGTCCTTCTTTTACAGTCCAGGTCTATTGTCTCTAGTTTGTCCAGTTGTAGTTTGATCCTACTGGGACGCAGCCAGCAGAAGCCTTTAAGAGCGCCGGGTAATACCATCCTAATATCAGATATGTATGTATTTGGAGCATATAGGCCACGCCCCCCTGTCAATCATGTGACGAAGCACCCAGTCTCTGCCCGTGTTTCTTTGTTTTTTTTTTGGTTTCGTGACCTGAGGCAAAAGCAGGAAACACGGTGCGTTTGATTGTGGTGTAAAATAAATGCCTCGTGCTGCTGCTGTTGAGCCTGTGGGAAAATCAAACGCTCAAAGCAACAACAGTAAGTTTTACAGTAAATATGAGAAACAGGTTTTTATTATCAATGTTCCAACGTGTGAGAGCTGGAGTTACAGACTGGACCTCACACACACTGGACCTTACAGTCACGGAGACAGGACGTCACAGCATTCACACCGGTTTGAATCCAGTCAAACGCACTCCGTATTCTTCCGATTTGGAAACTTATTCTTCTGGGTTGTCTTTGTTCGCTGACATCTAAACTCTCCGTGAGCCGAGTCCTCCAGACCAAAGCAGATCTCGTTCGACCTCTTCTCTCTGAAAGCAGCAGTCGAACTTCTGAAAGAGCCCCGTGTTTCTTTCTCCTCCTCCTCCAGCGCTGTCCAGCAGGGGGCACCAGACTGTCCTTTTGCTCACATGACCACAGACCTGTTTTGCACAATGGCTCCCAGAGCAGGTCCTATTTGCGTTCGAAGGCCATTGCTATGACAACCCCCTCTTGTGACTCTAGGGGGCGGGGACAGGTGATGGGTTATATTGCCATTGTACAGAGTATTTCCTTTATTTTCGCAGTAACTTTGAGTTGTACAATTGTTTTAATATATATATGAAATTATTTGTAGTAATATAAATATTCTGGTTGTAAACAAGATTTGAAAATGACACAAGCGTAAAAACTGTTGCTCGATTCTCCCAACACAAACCCACAGAGTCAAATAGTGACTCACAGGGCTCATTCCTACAAGTATGCAGAAGAGAACTGATTTGAGAACTTTAATGTTTAAAAGTTAAGTACCCGAGCTTTAAATCCAGTGTGGAGAGCTGGGTTTCAATGTAACACTACTGCTACTACTACTTCTGCTATGCTGCTACTACTACTAGCACTGCTACTACTACCAATACTAATACTACTACTGCAACAACTACTACTACAGCTGCAGAGACTGAGGTGTTAAATATTTAATATAACAATATTCGTTCTGACTCATATTAAACCAGCGCACAGGTTTATTAAGTCTGACTTTAAAGGGGCAGTATGTAACAAGTGGTGTTTCCTCCAGCCGGGGGTAGTGCGATCACTAGGGTTTGTCTGTCTGTCTGTCTGTGAGCAACACAAGTTTTATTCCATGCTCAGTAAACCTCTGGGTCTTGATTCTTTGCGGCGGTCTGGGCATTACGAGTTCTGTCATGTGAACAATCATCCAATCAGAGAGCAGAGTTGCCGCTCCGCGTGTCTGTCCAGCTGCCCTCCAGTGGCAGACGTGGGCATTACACCTGCAAAAGAAACCCATTTGAATTTAAGCTAGCTGGAGCCAAATTCCTAATATGGGCATTTGTTCCGACAGGGTAACGGGGGCTTACATGGTTGCTAAGACGATATGGTTCATATCTGGATCTACAAAGACAATATCGGTTTTATTAATTTTTATTCATACTGGTGTTAATCCACAGACCAAAATGGTGACTGACACAACTGGTTACTGAGCTGGAGGAGTTTACTTTAACATGTAAGGCAATAGGAGCCAGAGCAAGTTGGAGCCAAACTTCACCATGAGCACTTTCCTCTTCGGGCATCATAAAGTATCCAGTCTGCGGTTGCTTCCATCAGTTGTGTCTCAGCAGCAGCTCAAACCTCAGAACAAAGACTTGAACGTGTTATGACAGTGTTTGTGTTGGGATTATAAAGATAAAGATGATCTGTTTATGAGACTGGAAAAAGTGTTAAATAAATGTTTTATGAAATCCAGACTGTTTTCTGCATAAACATGTGACAAGTTCATTTCCTGTTCTGGGGAGAAATATTTCAGATCTGATTAAAAAGGTCACTTTTTGTTTTTATTATTTAGAGTCAGAGGAAAACTTTTGGTGTTACGTTCAGAGGACTCTCTCTCCAGTCTCTCTTTGGTCTCTCTCTGGTCTCTCTGGTCTCTCTCTGGTTTTCCCGTATCTATCAGGCCTCTGCAGCTGTATTATGCAGCGTTTGCATGGCTTGTGACAGCTGCAGCAGCTCAGGCCTACAACGACTGATGCTGCACAGAGGATGTGGGACCACCACAAGCCTCACATTTTGAGGCCTCTAAAACACTTTGTTGTGGAAGTGTTTTTCTCAGAATAAATCATGTAGAACTTAAGGTTAGTATAAAAAACCGACAGTTTGTCAATTGTATTTATGAAGTTTTCTTTGTTTTATACTAAAAGTTAAATATATTCTTTTAAAACAGATGGTTCAAGTAAAACTAAATTGTTATAATTTATTAAATGTATTTTCAGTTCTGTTCACTGAGCGCATGATGACATGAACTCAGATGTGACATAGAATGTTTATATTTAATTTGTACATAACTTTCATACATATATACATTAATTACATTATAATCAAAGCCAAAGATAATTACGGTGCAAATAAAAATGATTTGAAAACATATAAATATAGATAAAGATTATGTACAAAAACAGCCACAGGTGGTTTCCGCTCATGTTGGATTGGTGTTTAAATAAAGCTTTTATGCTGTAGCCCCTCCCCTCTGTGTGTAAAATGCAAGACATCATCTTGCATTTTAGATCCAATTCCAACTGGTCTTCTTAAAGATACTCTTCCGCTAATAATGAACTCTATTTCAAGCATAATAAACACCTCACTCGAAAGTGGCTACGTTCCAAAATCATTTAAAGCTGCAGTAATCAAACCACTTCTCAAAAAACCTAATCTTGATCCCTACCTGCTTGCCAATTACAGACCCATTTCCAATCTCCCCTTTATTTAAAAAATTCTTGAAAGAGTTGTAGCTACACCGCCATCTACGGGACAATAACTTAGCAGAACAATTTCAATCAGGCTTCAGAGCTCATCACAGTACAGAGACCGCATTAGTTAATGTCACCAATGATCTTTTACTAGCCGCCGATAACGGACTGGTGTCAGTGCTAGTTCTGCTAGACCTCAGCGCCGCATTTGACACGATAGACCATAAGATACTATTACAGAGGCTAGAATGTGACATAGGTGTCAGAGGAACAGCACTGGTTCGAATCCTATTTATCAGATCGGTTCCAGTTTGTGAGTGTGAACCAAAGATCCTCACTCTGTTCTAAAGTGGCCTTCGGTGTGCCTCAAGGATCAGTACTAGGTCCGGTTTTGTTTACACTTTATATGCTACCTTTAGGAAATATCCATCCATCCATCCATTTTCTACCCTTTAATCCATTTCTGGGTCAGGGGGGTGACAGTCAGAGATGCCACCCAAGTCTCATAGCACCTTATAGCAAACTATGACATTAACTTTCACTGTTACGCAGACGACACGCAGCTTTATTTATTGGTGAGACCAAACCAAACAAACACCATAGATAGACTCAGTGCCTGCATTAAAGACATAAAGACCTGGATGACCCTGGATTACCTGCTTCTCAGCCCTGATAAAACAGAGGTACTTGTCCTAGGCCCTAAAAGCACGCTCTCTGCGACCAGATCACTATGCTCGACAACGTCAGTATTTCCCCCAGTGACACGATAAGAAATGTAGGAGTCATATTTGACCAAGAGCTTTCCTTTCGAGCACATGTAAATCAATCAAAGAAAACGGCCTACTTCTATCTGCGAAATATTGGAAAAATTAGAGGTATCCTGCCGCGAAGTGATGCTGAAAAGATTATCCATGCGTTCGTTACGTCAAGACTTGACTACTGCAACGCTCTCCTAGCAGCGTGTCCCAAATCCACCATACACGGCTTCCAGCGAGTCCAAAATGCAGCCGCAAGGGTCCTGACAGGCACTAAAAGAAGGGAACATATAACCCCAGTGTTGAAAGAGCTCCACTGGCTTCCTGTGGAGTTTAGAATCAAATTAAAAATTCTTCTCCTGACCTACAAGGCGACAAATGGTATGGCCCCCATCTACCTCCAGAATGTACTGGAACCACCATACCAACCAAACCGCGCACTCCGCTCTCAGGATGCCAGACGCCTGGTGGTCCCTAGAGTGTCCAAAAGCACAGTAGGAGGCAGAGCGTTTAGCTACCAAGCTCCTGTCTTGTGGAATCAGCTTCCTACATCTATCAAAGAGGCGGACAGTCCCTTTATTCGAGACCAGACTTAAAACATTCCTCTTTGGATTAGCGTATGGTTAGCTCAGATAGATAACTAGTAACACTTAGGGCTATTTATCCTGCTCCCCTGTGGGCTAGACTTGTATATATATATATATATATATTTTTTTTTTTTCTATTCAACAGTTCTCAATTCACCATGCTTCCTTTATTCAAATGTTAAAATCCCTGTACATACAACTGCTTTTAATGCACTGTTTTTAATGCACCACACATACACAACTGTTTTTAATGCACCATACATACACAACTGTTTTTAATGCACCACACATACACAACTGTTTTTAATGCACCATACATACACAACTGTTTTTAATGCACCACACATACACAACTGTTTTTAATGCACCACACATACACAACTGTTTTTAATGCACCACACATACACAACTGTTTTTAATGCACCATACTTACACAACTGTTTTTAATGC